GCTCCCATTGTCTGAATCAATATTTTCCACCAGGCCAAAACTGGGTATAATTTGCTTGAAGATTATTTTGACAACATTTCTGGCAGTGGCAGTTGGGAGAGGGAAGGCCTTCACCCAGACGGAGAAGTGGTTTACCATTACTAGTAGATACTTTAGTCCCCTTGTTTTGGGCATTTCTGTAAAATGTTCCTGAATGCTTTGAAATGATTTAAACCTAGGAGGTCTTCCCCTGGCAGTTTGTTTTCTGACTACCTTATTGTTTATTTTTTGGCAGGTCGCAGAACTTCCACACACTTGTTTAGCAGGGGTATGAATCCCTATACACACGTAATGTTTAAATATTGCATTGCTCATAGCCTGGGGACCCCAGTGACTTCCCTTGTGCTGTGTGGACGTCAATTCTCTCATTATGAGTTTGCTTATGATTTCTCTCCCATCAGAGAGCACCCACATCCCATCCTCAGTTTGAATGGGCCCTATCTTGCCCAGTTCTTCTTTCTCCTCTTTGGAAAATTGGTGCCTTACTATCTTAGGTATATCTGGGATTCAACAAAATAGTTTAACTTCTTCCTCCAGGGAGGCTTGCTCAGTGGCTTCATTCACAAGCCTGTTCCCTACGGCTTCTCTAGTGTTTCCTCTCTGATGGCTGCCGGGTCTGCCCCGCAGACCTCGCTGAGCGATGGATGAAAGGAATATTCAGACACAGGTATGCGGCTAAGAGCAGCTGGGGGACTGCCGGTGCTAGGGGCTGAAGAGTGAGCAGTAGAGAACAGCTGAAGCTGCTTGCTTTTATTCAGGAACCGACATAATGCCGAAAGCCTGGAGCAAACACAGTCTGCGGATAATCAACATTATTGTTCCCTCTTTCAGGGTGCAGTCATGCATTTGGATGATCAAAGGTTGGTTTCCAGACAACATAAGTAAACAAGCTTGTTTGAGATAAATTCCCCTACACTTCCTTGTACCTATTCCTCACCCTCTGCCTCAGGGTAAGAGAACAGCAGCCTTCAGCATATTCTCCCCCGAAGCTACGTAGAGCCTCCTGACCTTTCAGGCCTGCTCCTTTCCCTCTAGCTTCTCCCACCACGCTGACCAATCTCCTACAGATGGCCACTTATAGGAGCTACTGCTGCCTCTGCTGGAAACAGGAGGCTTTTTACAGCATGTTTGACCAGTTCTCCGTGATCCAATTCTTTCCCCTGCTATTTATTAGGCCTCACTCTGTCCAGATCTTTCCAAAAGTGTGTACCACTCCATAGGCATATTTGAAATCAGTATATATAGTGCCCTTGCAGCCTTTAAGGAGATTTAGGGCCTGGTTAAGACCATATAATTCACAGGTTTAGGCCTCCCGGCCGTTAGGTAGTCTATCTTTCTCACATAGGAAGTATGTGTCTCCATTAATGACAGCATAGCAAGGGGATTTCATCTCACTTTCTTTTTATTTATTTATTTATTTATTTTAGAGACCGGGTTTCACCATGTTGGCCAGGCTGGTCTTGAACTTCTGACCTCGTGATCCACTCGCCTCGGCCTCCCAAAGTGCTGGGATTGTATACAGGCGTGAGCCACCGCACCCGGCCTCATCTCACTTTCTTGCTTTTTTCAACCTTTAAGTTCAGGGATACATGTGCAGGGTGTGCAGGTTTGTCACATAGGTAAATGTGTGCCGTGGTAGTTTGCTGCACAGGTCATCCCATCACCTAGTTATTAAGCCAACATCCCTTAGTTCTTCTTCCTGATGCTCTCCCTCCCTCAACCCCACCCCCAACAGGCCCCAATGTCTGTTGTTCCCCCTTGTGTCCATGTGTTCTCATCATTCAGCTCCCACTTACAAGAGAGAGCGTGTGGTGTTTGGTTTCCTTGTCTTCTGCTAGTTTGCTGAGAATAATGGCTTCCCAACTCCAAGCATATCCCTTCAAAGGATATGATCTCATTCCTTTTTATGGCTGCATAGTATTCCACAGTGTATATGTAGCACATTTTCTTTATCCAGTCTATCATTGATAGACATTTAGGTTGATTCCACATCTTTGCTACTGTGACCAGTGCTGTGATGAACAGAGGAGTACATGTGTCTTTACGGTAGAATGACTTATATTTCTTTGGGTATATACCCAGTAATGGGATTGCTGGGTCAAATGGCATTTCTGTCTTTAGTTTTGTGGGAAGTAGAAAAGTTCCTCTTTAAAGTTTCCTTTCTTAAGAAAAATTCATAAGTGTTAGAAATAATAGTTTATTTTAAGCCTTCTTGCTTTTTGCTAGTAGCTCTTTGTTAATCCCCATCCTATGTAGTTGTTAGGCATGCTCACAGGCATGTAGTACATTCCATGCCCTTGTACTCTAACCAAGATACCTGTGCTGGATGTGCTCATAGGCATGTCCCAGCTCGCAGCCTGTGCCCCTTCCTTATTTGGACTTCCTTTTTTTATTTTGCTCTCCATTGCTTTTACCTGTTTAGAAAAGGTTCAAGTTATTAGCCAATCGGGTTTTAGTGTAGATTGTAAGGTCTGGCTCCAGAAAATGGAGATCAGACACAGCAGTAAGGACAACCCCAAATGTGTAAGGAATAAATATGTCTGCTTTCCTTTGTTCGTTGTATTCCCATGGCAAGATGGCTAACAGGGGTCCCCTTTCTGCAGGAAGTAAAAATAATTGTTTTGCTGAGAGATCCTTTGTCCCAGTACTAATTTTTAATTTCTGGCACCAAAAAGAAAAGTTTTACACATAACAAGGTTCATTTTCTATTTTACAAATTTCTGTAATGTCTGGACTTTGTTACAAGAACCATTATTATTGCAAAAAAAAAAAATGCTCATTTTAAAAATGAAGCAATAAGGCCGGGCGCGGTGGCTCAAGCCTGTAATCCCAGCACTTTGGGAGGCCGAGGCGGGTGGATCACGAGGTCAAGTGATCGAGACCATCCTGGTCAACATGGTGAAACCCCGTC